GCCAGGTGGTGCTTCTGGCAGGCAGTGTGCAGGGCCAGGGGCCAGTGCTCTGGGACATCGTAGGAGGCAGGGCAGCTCTCACGGCAAAGAACTACCTGGCCCCAGAGTCAGTAATGCTGAGGTTGAGAAACCCAGCAGTAGGCAATGACAGTACGGTCCCTACGTGGTTTGTCAACGTGAACCGCAGAAATGGGAGCAGTGCTCACAGCAGAGCACGTGGGTGGTGCTGTGTGGTGAAGAGCAGGCTGACCATTCACATCCAGGCTCAGCCCCATTCGCTGTGAGGTTTTAGTCACGCTCTGTAACTCTGCCTCAGTTTCCTTCTACCAGGATTAGCCTAGGATGGATGTGCGGGTTAAATGAGATGCTATGTCAAGTGTTTACAACAGTGCCTGGTGCCTAGTGAGAACTCAGCTGCCAAGTGTTTGCTACTATCACTGTTAAATGTGCCCAAATGAAGCACTGATGGAGTATATATTTGTAAATGACATATCTGACAAGGGGTTAACATTCAAAATATATAAAAAACTCACACGCCTCAACACCCAAAAAGCAAATAACCCTATTAAAAAATGGGTGGAGGATATGAACAGACATTTCTCCAAAGAAGAAATTCAGATGGCCAACAGGCACATGAAAAGATGCTCCACATTGCTACTCATCAGGGAAATGCGAATTAAAACCACAATGAGATATCACCTCACACCAGTTAGGCTGGCCAGATGAAGCACTGAGAGGACCAGCTGATGACAAGAAAATGTGGAGACGTCTGGGCTGAACTGCTGCGCTGCTGAGAAGCATTTCCCCTGAAGACCCATCCCGAGGCTAACAGAGGTGGCCCTCTCCTGAGCCCCTCCCACTCCTGCACCAGTCAAACTGGCTGGTAGGTGAGCACCACTTGCTCGGTCAGTCAAAATTGAACATGCTAATTGAGCACCTAGCATGAGTGTAGATGTTGAAAACAAACTTTTGATTTGTGATTGGCTGGACAAGATGAGACAAATGCATGAGAGAAAAATCAGCTCCAGATCTACTCAAATAATTTAAAAATGTATTGAACGCCATCTGTACGTTTCTGATGCTGTGCTGGGGGTTAGGTTAGGAAAGATAAAAGGAATAGCTCTTCTTTACAATCCTCCTTCAAAGTCTCCTCAGTCTAGTGTGGGAAATACATGTTCACATAAGTAATTATACTACGAAGCTCTGAGAGCATTACCCAAATGTATGTGAGCTTCAGAAGTACGAAGTGGGGGAGGTGGTGAACTCTACAGTAGATCTAAGCAGGCTTTATGGAGGAAGCAATATGTAGACACAGGTTTGAAGGATGTGTTCCACAGCCTGGGACTTTCTGGCAAGTATAGGAGGTGTTATATTGCTGGACCAAATAAAGCAAGGGGGTGTGCTGAGCAGAAATCAGATCTCAGCTGGCTACAAATGCCAGGCCCCGGAGCTTGGCACTTATTCTGAAAGTCTGGAATCACTCCTGAAGGATCTTAAGAGGCACAGTGATAGGATCTGAGTTACATTTTTAAAAGATCAACATGGTGTGTATGGCAGATGGATTAAGGGGGCTGAAACAGGGATTAGGGCGATTAGTTGAGAAACTGCTCTGGTGTTTCAGATATGACACAGCATGGCCCCAAGCCAAGGTGGTGGTACGGGGGGGTGGGGGGTGGACAGAGAATCAAGTATAACTGAGAAACACTGCGTCCTCTCTTTCCCTAACTCATTCCAACATGTGAAAAATAATAGCTCATTCACACAGAGCCCTTGTTCTGCATGAGGTACTGTTCTAAGTTTTGATCCATTTAATCTTCACAGCAAACCTGTGAGATATATTTTATTATCATCCCTGTTTTACAGAAGGGGACTGTGAGATAGAGTCAGCTCACATTGTATGTCACACACTAAAATAGTAGCAAAGCCAATTTTTAAGACCAGGCAAGCTGCCTTGGTCTGTTTTCTATTAGCGGGAAGTGGAGTTTTGCTCTTGGGGACCTGTGTCTTCTTGAACTGTCATTAAACAGTGGGGCTCCCACAGTCCCAATGGGAGCTATCCCCACTTCCTCCCATCCTGGGGAGCGAGGGCCGAGTTTCTGGTACCTCTGATAAACATTACACGGCGGTTGCTTCTTGTCGCCACAGGAGGTCACCACTGAGACCCAGGCTTCCGTGGCCGGCGAGAAAACGCGGGCCACCGGGTTGTGATTCTTCAGTCATCCCGAAGGGCTCAAGCCCCTCTGGCACTGAGGGAGGGCGCCCTCACGCCCCCGGGAGCCGGACGTGGCCCAGAGTCACCCCTGCTTGACTGTAGCTCTCAGGGCTCAGGTCTTTTAAATGGGGTGCCACCTTCTGGCGGCGCCAGCCCCCCGGGGCTGCGTCGGTCCCAGAACCATGTCACTAGATGCTTACCCCAAACACAAAGCTAAGATTCCACCCACTTCCCTAGACCCCACCACTCACAGCCTCCTGCTGAACGTGAAAAACAGTCTCTTACAGGGCCGCTGTCATAGATGACTCTGAGAGCTATTTCCCTGGTGGGACTGTCAAGGGTTGGTATTTAATTAGATGTGTGGGGGATGTGGTGGGCAGAGAGAGAGACAGGGGGACCAGGGAGCCTGGGAGGACCTTAGATTCTGCTTGTGTGCTTTGATGCCTGGTAGGCCGTTTCCTGGGAGGGGACAACAGTGCAGGGTTCCGTCTGCCTTTGAGTTACTTCTCACCCTGGGCAGTGGCAGGGGCTTTCCCTTCTAGACTTCTTGCCACCCACCTCCCTTTCAGTGCCTCATGTCACCCACTGTGTTGGTCTGGTGCAGGGCAGAGGGCCTAGGGGCATCACTCTAGCTGGATGATTGATGGGTGTCATGCTGGACACCCTGGACCAGTGGTTGTCACCACGGGAAGACTCCTGGTTCTCAACACATAGATCTTGCCCACATAGCTCCCTAGTGCTGCCATTGATGCTCCCTTGGTTCCTGTCTGTGCTTCCTGCCCTTTCCCTACCTCCCCTCCATGAGCATAGCAGGGATTGAGCAGGAAGCCTTCACAGTAAGTCGTCATACTACATGGCCACATAGAAGTTGCAGAGCTGGTGGGAAAAGTAGGTCTTGGGACATGTCTCCATGGGACATACTGCATGTTGCATTTGAGATTATCTCAAAGTTCATTAAGAGTCTAGACACAGAGAGTAATACATTATACAGGTGTGTGTACGTGTATGTATATATATAATATATACACTTAACATATATGTGTGCATATGTCACTTATTTTTGGTTCAAAAATCAAGAAGTTTCATAAAGTTGTACATTGAACGTCTCACTCCTACCCAGACCTCATCCACCCAGTTCTTCCCCACGCTCTCCTTTATAGCTACTACCTACTCTGTGAGTTTCTTACATAGTCTTTCTGCATGTTTTTATGCCAGTACAAGCAAATTCAAATATACATGTGTGTCTCCCTTCTTCTTCCCCAAGAGCTATCTTATTATTAACACTTTTCTGCACTTGGCTCTTTCAACAATATATCCTGGTGATCCTTTATCTTGGCAGTTGAAACACATCAGGATCCAAGCAAACCTGTGTTATTTATTGGCTTCTCTGCACCTCCGGAGACTAGCAAATGCAAAGGAAAAAGTTAGGGACTTGTGTTGACTTTCAAATATATGGTTTCATAAAAATGCAATGTTTTTAGCAAAATGTCCTATGATTTTGATCATGTTTTAAGGTCAAAAGTTGTGAAAGGCATCCATTTTCTCTACAGAGAAATAAATATTCATTTGCTTGCCATTCACCCAAAAACACGGAGCACGTGCGTTGTCCCCGTGGGAAGACCAAGGCCCATCGAACTTGGCCTTCCCCTGCCTTGGCCAGACGGCACAACGCCTCCTCAGGGTGCTCCTGCTTGTAGCCTTAATACCCACCTTGCTCCCACCACACACACTGAGACCAGGATGACCTTTGCAAATTGCTGGCCCAGCCCTTCCCCTGCTTAAATGCCCTCTGGACTCCCTGCTGTCCTTGGGGTCCAGGCCTTGATGTGCAGCCCTGTCCCGTGAGCCTCATTTACAGGCCTCACCTGTCCAGGCCAACTCTGTTCCAGGGGCCTGGACCCGAACCCAGTGCTGACTGTGTTGCCCCGGGGCCTTTGCATGCTTCTTGTCCCTCCTCTCAGGTGGTGGTCCCCTGTGACTCTCCCACCCCTGCCCCACTGGATTCGCTAGTCACACCCACAGTAACTGCTTGGTTCCAGCCACATCTCGCACTGGGTTCTGAGTGAGTGCAGCCCCGTCTGCTGGACCGAGGGCCTATCTTGGAGCCCCAAGCTTAGGTCACCGAGGCTGTTCGCTCATCTGTAATGGGAGAGCTACCACAGTGATGGTGAAAATGTGCGCACTCTCCAGCGCAACGCCTGGCCAAGGATGCTCAGTGGGAGCATTTTACGCCTCCCCAGTCTCCTCTTCTCCGTGGACTGACCTTACCCATCTCTGAACCCCCAAAGTCCAGCGTGAAGTAGATGACTAGTAATTGCAGGTCGAGGGCAGGCTGCTTGACGGCCACCGCCCACTGTACAGGAGGTACGGATTGCCCAGCCGTCTACGGCGGTGCCCCTAGGCTCCCCTTCAAAGTGTGATTACACCCCCTCTGCCCCACCCTCGTCGTTGGGGCCCCTTCCCCGGGCTCTGGAAACGACCTTTGCCTTCCCGCCGCCTCCCAGCCCTCCAGTTCGCGGCGGAGACTGAGCATGCTCGTGGCCAGGCCGGCGGCGGGCGGGGTTTGGCCCGGGGCAGCCTACCCGCCGAGCGCCCGGCGCTGACTGGCCGCCGAGGGCCGGAGCTGGGAGCGGGCGCCGCGCCTGGCCCGGCCGCAGACGCGCACCCTCGGGGCGCTGCGCAGGCTGCGGGAGCCGCGCGCGGCTGGGCGGGGCGCGCGCTCGGGGCTGCCCGCGGCCCGCGGGGCAGGAGCGGCGGCAGGGCGCGGGGGCGCGCGCACCGGGCGGCAGGGGCGCGGGCGGCGGGCGAGCCCCTCTCCCCGCGACGGCCTTGCCGCGCGGCCCCGTGCGCTGGGCGGCCCCGAGGCCGCGGCCGGGCGGCTGTTGAGCCGAGAGGGGGCAGCTGCGGAGTTCCGTAACCATAGCAACCGCATCAGCACCACCACGGCGGCGGCGAGGGCAGCATCTTCTCGCTCCTCCTCCAGGCAGCCTCGCCGCGGGGACCGAGAGCCAGCTCGCGGCGCCCGACTCCGCGCTCGGTCCGCCCGCCGCTGCTGCAGGGGTGGGAGGCTGCAGAAGGCGAAAGCGGCGAGTGAGGGACCCAGGAGCCGCGGCTTGCAGAGGTGAGAGAGGGAAGCCCTCCTGCAGTGGGAGACAGGTAGGTGAGAGCGCCCCGGGGTCGGCAGCTGCAAACTCTCTCCTCTGTGGCAGTGACGTTTCTGGAAGCGTGGTTGCTAGTTGGATGGTTTTCTATTACTAAACAGGGATTCCGCCGCCAATGTGTTTTATCTCCTCTGCCTCCCCCCATTTCTGCCCTCAAGTCGTGAGGCACATCTGGGCAGGTGATGAGAGGGCAAGAGGGGATATCTGATGTGATAGGTGGGGGCACACTGGGTTAATGAAGAGGTCCCCGCCAAAGTCCCAGATGGAGGCTGCGGGGGCACATCCTGACCCTTGTGCAAGCAGGTCCTCAGCGCCGGTGAACCGGGGCAGGTTGGGAAGAAGACCGCGTTGGGAAGCGGGTGGTGGCGGCGGTTCTGTGTGATCCAGGCTGACCCAGAGACGCGTTCTCCCTGTAGCTTGGCTGGGGACAGGGTTGGCGGGGCGCGGGGGTGGGGGTGGCACTGCAGCTCAGCTGCGAGGAGAGGGTCAAGAACACACACCAGCACTTGATCTGTGAAGTCAGCGTCAAACCCAGCAACTGGAGGGGAAATTTAGAAGGGAAGCAGTATTACCATTTTGGGACCCAGGGGTTTCCCAGGAGTTGATCATGTAATTGCCTTTGGCTATTTGGAGTGGGAATAGCTATAAAATTATAAACTGGCAGTCAAGGTTGCCCCTTTCCTTTCTCCTCACCTCATTTCTAGTCATCTCCCCCTGTTGTCAGCCAAACCAGACTACACTGAGGATAATGACACCCTTTGTCCCTTGACCCCCGCCCCCCAGGCTACAGCACTGGCCAGCGATCCCACTTTGAGACAGCTAAAGAATTCTGCTTCTGTTCTCTGTTTGCACTAGGGAGGATTGTTTTTCATGAGGGTCTGAGGTGCCTGGGGTTCAGAGATGTGTCAGAGCCATGAGGCACCTGGGCTGTCCACACAGAGTGATGAGCTGTTAACCAGGTCTGTAGGCCAGAGAGAAGCACAGAGTTTTGGGCATGATTCCAGCCCAGCTCACAGGGCCAGGGCCCCAGAAGACCACAGAGAAGGGAGATAAGGCTAGGTGAAAGATTTGGGGCTAAAGGCATTTGTGTATGGGTAAGTGGGTCTCTGGGTGATTTCCAAGATGGGTAGCTATTGACTTTTTTAGGGTTCTTTCTTTATATCCTGGCCTCAGGGAACAGTGGTAAGTCCTAGTTAAAAGGCCATATTCTTTAATGGGGCTTTTAGTTTATGCTGTAGTTGTGTTGCCTGAGGGGATGTGATTTGACCAGCATTTCATCTGGGAACTGTGTCATGATGAGGATAAGATTACTGTATTCCAGGCAGATGGTAAGGTGTAGACGAAAGAGGACTGGGAGTCAAAGCATGAATTTGAGCTCTGACTTGATGACACACTTGCTGCATGACCTTGAGTTGCTCTACCTTGCTGAGATCCCTTTCTCATCTGTAGAATGGGGACACTAATGATTCTTGCACCTTGCCAGGCTCTGTGACAATTGAGTGGGATAATGGAGAAGATGGGTAGAGAAGGACTTTTCAGAGCCTAATGTGAAAATAAAAGGAATTATCATTTAAAAAAAGAGCTCCCTTCCTCAGATCAGCAAATCATTGAAGAGGTAACAGCTATGGAAAGGGGAGTAGAAACATTGGTCGGTGACTCACAGCTGGAATGCTGTAGTCTGGTCCAAGATACACTCAGAGAAATATCAAGAGGGCTTTATTGGGGGTACACATGCTGTCCTTGCTTACAAATGTTGAAGGTCAAGGACTTTGGCACTAAATGCAGTGCTCATCTAGTTTGGGAACACTGAGGTCTGCTCACCACAGAGTTGGACCAAGCACTTTATTGTGGAGACAGGGATTTTGCACATAGTAGGGAGTCATTTAAATATCGGTTAGATGGATACATTGGATACATTGTGAGCTCCTTGTGGCAAAATTCACCTGCATCCAATTCTGTTCCCTAAACCAGGAATTTACCAGAGTTTTGTCCAGTTTAACTGAATGCTTCCAGCTTGATGTAATTTCCAAGGGAGCTGTAATTTCTGGAAGGAGCCAGAACTGTCTTATACCGGTTCTGTTGTTTTTACCCCTGCTTGTGATCATTCTGGTCTGTCTGATTAGAATGACCATTTCTCACTTCCCTCTTCCCTTCATAACCTGATTCACGTGCCCCTTCCTGTGGGAAGCCTTCTTCCCGATGTTCCCTAGCACTTTACATCTGTTCTTTTCCAGCCTGTGCCGTGTCTTGATGTCACTGCTTGCACATATGCCTGCTCCCTTCTCTAGATTTCATGCCTGTGGAGGGCAAGAACCTTCCATTATTCTGCCATGGTGGCTGCCATGGCAAGCGGTTAACTGAGTGAACAAGCCTTCCCTGCAGTGTGACCACCTGCCCAGGAGAGACTTGCACAAAAGCTGTCCCAGCCACCTCCTCCCATCTCAGTATGTGCAGCAAACCTGAAGGATGCTTACTGAGTTGTTGTGCATTATTTAGGGTCAACCCACTGAAGCAGAGTAAAAGAGAACAAAAACACATATTTTTCCTTAAAATGTTCATTTCTTTTTTCAAGTGGCTACTTTAGAATAGCTGTAATCTGGTGTTGAATGGCCTTCATGTAACATTCGCTGAAAATATCTGATGGAATATTTTAAACTGAAAAGGTATTTTTCTCCCTTCACTTTCTTTCCTTGATTTCATCTTTGGTATTATGGAAAAGCACATAGATTGGACCAAGGAAGCCTAGATGAAAATCCTGGTTCTTAAGGAATCTGGAACCAGGACACTTGATCTCCCTGTGCCTCAGTTTCCTCATTTGTAAAACATTGATAGTACTGATCTCATAGGGTTGCTGCATGCTTGGAGTGAATGAATAACTGTGCAGATAAGCAGTTCATAAACTGTGCACTTATTTTTATTTATTTTCCTGAATTGTTATGTCCTGGAAAATGAATAAAATCTCCATGTCTAATTAGACAACATCAGCCACGATGGGCTGGAAATCCCGGGTCCTCCACTTACTAACTGTGTGACCTTCAGTAAGTCATTTTGTCCCCTCAGACGTTTGCCTATCTGCATACTCTCATAATGACGCCTACCTTTCAAGATGGGTTGGGAAGATATGCTAAGAAAAAGTTCCACACTTGGCACTTCATGCATGATATCTGTAGTTTCCAAATGATAGCTGTAATTGCCAACAATAGAAGAAGGTTCCAGAATTTTTTGAAATGCCTAACATGCATTTTCTCTCTGTATCTCACCTATCTTTCTTTGAGAGATAGACAGGTAGGTAGATAGATCGATTGATCAATAGATGATACTATTAAGAAGATAGTAGCAGTAGTCCCCTTACCAAGATATGTCTGCTTCACGTGAGATACCCCAAGGAAATAGGAAAAGCTAAAGATTTAGATTCAGGAACTGAGCCTTCATTCCAACTCTGAAACCAACTCTGTACTTGGGCTCCTCCCCTTCCTGGGCCTCAGTTTCTTCATCTCAAACTGGGCTGGACGCTTTCCAGGGCCCCGTCTAGCTCTGTTTTTCAGTGTTTGCATACTTGAATCTATGTTTCTCCTTGCCAAGGTTACATCTGTGGCCCTCAGGCTGTCCTTTTGGTCAAGAACATCACTTACACTGCACACGCATGTCCCCACCACCCGTTTCCCTCCTTCTAGAACTGCCCTCCAGCCTCGAGTCTCCATGATGATCCTGGGGCTGAGGCTCTGTTAAATATAAATCGCCCATGCTATCCTTCCTTGCTGAGGCCCAGTTCTTACCTGACCCCAGGCAAGAGGTTCTCTGTCTGTCCACCGGGAGGATCTCCTTCACTCAGACACTGTATGGGTGGAGCTAGGCGGGTGTATGGATGGAGAACCTTACCTGCGAGAGCTGGAGGAGATTCTGGGACACCTGTAATATTTGCTTAGCCTCCCAGACTCCGGGTGCTCAGCAGTCGCAAGTGTTTCTGTTGAAACATGAATCATTTCTAGGTGGCCGCACACCGATCTCAGGAGTGATTCCTGAAGGGGATGTTAGCATCCCAGAGGAAGTTGGCACTGCAGGCCAGAGATGCTTCTCATGGCCCTCCACTGCTGGTGTGGACAGAGAGGCACTGCGGTGTGCCCAGTACAGGAAATCTGGGTCAGCAGCTTCCCATGTGCTACGCATCATGCCAGACCCTTAGCATCAACTGGGAGCGAGGCAGGGATCTGCCCATCTAGTCAGGGGATCGTCAGGGAAACAGACAGTGCAGGGCTCTGTTCCCGCAGACACCTCTCCTGCAGGGGGCTGTCCAGAAGGTTTTACGGCAGGGAATGAGCCTTAGTTGAGGTCTGAAGGAATTTCCAAGGGAGACTGAAGAGAAGGCCAGTCAGAAGGAGGAGGTAACATGCAAAGCCCCGGAAGCAAGAGGTCGCAGAGAAGTGAAAAGAGTGAGCCGGGCTGGAACACAAGGAGGGACGCGGTGTCTCAGGCTGGGGAGCTAAAGAGCGGCCCCGTGAGTCAGACTAAGGGGCTTGTCCTTTAATCTGAAGGTCATGGGAGCCATGGGGAAGCTCGGAGTTGGGCAGAACGCTCCTTAGCTGCAGAGCAGAGGTTGGGTTCAAGAAGGTGGATCAACCAAGAAATGTGACGGCCTCTTAGGAGACTTGGCAGGTAAGAGGTGTTTGAATTCAGGCAATGAGAGTTGGGAAGACTCTTGCTGCCCATTTGATGGACAGGAGATTGAGAAGAAATAGGTAAGAGGTGAGCGGGGAGAAGTCCCAGATAACTATTGCATCCTCTAGCAGAGAAATATCAGTGGAACACTCTTGGGACTTTTGACCATTGGTGCAGGTCAAGAGGAGGGAGGGGTCATGGGTGACAGTTAGGGGTTACTTTCCACCACAGTAGCCCTGGTTCAAGCCACTTCGTCTTGTACCTGGACTGACACACTGGCCTCTGAACTGATGTCCCTGCGCTCTCTGCTCCCTCAGTCTATTCTGCACATGGCAGCTG